TGAAGAAATTGGAAGTTATCTAATGCAGATTTTTGGTGGGGAGACTTGAAAGATAAAAGGAACTATCACCTAGTTGGATCAAAGCCAGTTAACAGGGCACTTTTTGATGTCTAGTCCTTAATTGAATATAAAAGGGCCCTACAAAGGAAATGTTTATGGAGATTCATTAGTATGATAGTATGGTGGAGAGTGATCAAAGCTAAGTTTTGCATATTGATAGTATGGTGTCGGTCTTTGGAAGAGGATTGACAGTGGAAGAGGGGAGTTTCAGAATTATATCATTTGGAAGATTAGGTCAGATCAAAAAGTGAGATTCTGGTTAGATGAATGGCTTGGGGGGAGGGGATCCTTGTAACAAAATTTTCCCACAATTTTTCGCTTTGGTCCGTAGCAAAGAAGTCACAGTTACAGATTCTTTCTCCAATCCCTTGGGTTGCGGAGTTTGGGTGGTGGACTTGAAAAAGAACCTCAATGATTGGGAGATAAACAAGTATGTGACTTCCAATTATTATCAGGACATGTAGGTCCTTCAGAAGCCTTGAATGGGCCTAGTTGAAAGATTAGTGCTGGAAGAGGCTACTCAGTGAAGTCTTATTATTCCTTCTTGACAGGGAATGACAGGAATGCCAAAGATTTCTCATAGAATTTAATTTGGATGATTAAGGCATCCCCCAAAGTGGCATTTTTTGCTTGGAAGCCGGCTAGGGGCTGCATTTTAACGCTACACAACCTCATTAAAAAAGAAAAGAGTATTGTGAGTATGTGCTCTATGTGCAAAAGGGCATCACAGACAATTAATTATCTTCTACTATGGTGCCTTGTATCTTATAAATTATGTTGTTTGACGTACAACTTACACTTTATTGGGGGTAAGTTGGGTTCTAGCTAGATCAGTCAAAGTGGAGTTATGGGCTTGGAGAGGTATCGCGGAGATAAGCACTATAATAAGCAAATTGGTCTTATCCCCTTAGCTACTTTTTCTTTGAAATACTTATCCCCTTAGCTACTTATTGGGTTATATGGAAAGAGTAACAGGAGCTTTCCAGCGCACAAACCTTTTGATAGTATAAAGTTAGTTGGTTCTAGACCATGGGTTTTTTTTTTATTAAAGGTCATCCTCTATATTCTTGTAATGACTTCCGCAACTGGATTAATATTTTAACTAACATGTAAATAGTTTTGTATATGATTTGTTTTCCCTTAATGTTCTAAATATATTATACTTTCTATCTTTTTAAAAAATAATTCCACCCAATCCTAGTACCAAAACCTTGATAAGACAAATTATTTCTATAAAATTTATGGGAAGACTTGAAAGGTTTATCTATGTGCATGGTTCAAGCTCAATGAATTATCATAAGATCCTAAAGTAAGTCCAGCTTCTAGTCATTTAAAGGAACTGCATTATAGTGCATTAAATGTGTATGGTCTAGCCTGAAAAGATAAACCCAGATGGGAAAACTACACCAGTGATGGATGCCAAGTTCATTTTAGCATTTGGTGTGTCCTTTATTTTAAGAACCTTTTGTTAGTTTTCTCTATAGAACATCAAATTTAGGAAAGTTGGTTTGGGTGAAACGAGCGGGAAGTTTACTATTGGTCTCAAGTGGTGGTAGGATTATGGCAGTGTGTTTTGTGCCTTTTCTTTTGGATTATGGGGCGAATCTTGAATTGTCATTGGCTTGCGATCTTTGAATATAAGTCTTGCTTTTATGGAAGTTTTATGAAGGCTTGCCTGGTTTCTTGTGGTTCTGTGATCATTGCTTTCACCATCACTTTCCAGGATTCTTCCATATTTTTCATGTACATCAGCTGTGCCTTTAAAGCCTATGGTTTTCAGCCTTCCTTGCAATTTTTGGAAGGACTTGCTTAAGCTCCAAGCCACAGAAGAGCAATGTTTTACAACGAACTAAAACTAAGCAAACAAACAAATTGAGTGATTGGGTTGCATGGAGATGTACCTAAGGTGCGTGATTTATGAGGACCAATAGACATTTCTTTAGCAGCTCCATACAATATAGATTATAATTTGGCAACAATGCCTTTGAAACTTGTATGGCTACACAATTGTCTTACACCTTCAATACTTTGCTGGAGACGCTGTAATTGTTCAGGCCCAAACATCACTAGCTTTACAGTCTTTCGAGTCTAAATTATTAATATTCAAAAGTTTAAATTCAAGTTGTTGATAGTGAGTGGTTTGAACTCGTAAAGGTCAGTTGTATATCGAAAGTAATGTAGACAAGGGACATGACATTGTAAATTAATCACACTTATTGTTCAATAATACAGATTATGCCATTTCTCTTGCCTCGCACATTTTCTTATTCCTTAGACTACTAAGTCACCTATGAAATACCTTGTTATGTTGGTTCATAGATAAACTGGTGGGAACCTTCAGAATCACTACACATACTTGTTGTAAAGAATTTTAACAGTGTAGGTGATGATACCTGCAACACTTGAGACACCCTAACAATAATGTGATGATGGTGAGTGTAGCTAGGTGTTATGCTCTAGAGGGGTTTTAAAACCTAATAATCAACAACTATTGATGAATGTTTTGTTTAAAAGGATGCAAAACGAATAGCAATAGCAACCCAAATAACAGAAATCATAAAGGTTATGATCCTCGTGGGTAAAGAGAACCAGGTTCCCAGGCTGATTACTGTCTGCTGGTATGATCTTGAGCTTTTTATCCTCCTTGATTGATTGTCTTTCATGAGACATCAAAAATTTGAGTTGGGAATATTTAATATCTTAATGTGATTTTGGATAAAGGTGTGATTAACGATCACCTAGTAAGGAGTAATGTCACTCTCTTCAAAATACTTGAAGAAAGAAGTTTAGTGGTTGGTAACTATGGACAGAAATGAGCAGGGGACAATAAGCTAAGAGTGGTGCGTAAAAGTGTGGAATGGAGGAAATTAGAAATCTTAGTCAATCTTATAAAGTAATCAAAAGTGACAAGAGGGTTAAGGATGACATTGCTGTTATAGGACTAGAAAAATGATACCAACGGTAATATCTTGGAATGTTTTAAGTGTCAATCATATTGCTAAAGGGTTGCTATTAAGGGATTGCTAATTGATTAGGGGAAGATTTGTTTTGCTTGCAAGAGATAAAAGTGGAAGATATGTCAAATATGTCCGTAAAAGGTTTATGGGGCATGAGAGACATTAAGTAGTATCAGTTACCAGTTTTAATTGCAGTAGAGGTGTTCTGATTATGGGAGGGAGAACGTGTTGTAGTTCATCCAGGGTATAAGAGGAACAATGTCAAGTTAAGGGACTCAATCTGTCCTGGATTTTGTTTTCCTGTCGATGAGAAGGCTCACAGTGGGATCTATATGCGCGGACTTGATTGGTTTAAGAAAATGCTAAATTGTCAGGTTGTTGGGGAAATTTAAATTTGATCCTCTACTCCTTTGAATGATTAAGGTACTGTGTTATGACGACTTGAATGGTTTAAGGAAAATGTGAAATTGTACTTAGATTGTTGGGGAGCTTTCAATATGACCCTCTACTTCTTTGATTGATAAAATGACTGAGCTGCACATTCTTGAAGCCATGAGCTTTGGAAGACTATCAACAGTTTAAATTGTGTGGATCTTCTGTTGGTTGGTGGCTGGTGGAGATGGTCCAATTTTGGATAGCAACTTGCCTTCTCTTGGTTAGATAAATTCTTCATCTCACACTTGGATGGTAGAGCTTGCTTCTAGAGTAAACTAATACATACTTCCTTGAATTACTTTAGAGCAATCTCCAATTTGCTTGGATTGTAATAGAGTTAGGTGGTGTTTTAATCCTTCAGGTTTGTAAGCAGGTTGCTGAAGGTGGAAGGATTCGATAATTTTGGGTTTTAGGATTTTTTTACTATATGCAGAACTCTTATAATAGGAGGATGTTAAGTTGATTGTGGGCAAGAGTGAATTCGGGAACAACCGAGACTTAAGACATGGCCAAGAGAAGTTTTATCAAGAGATGTATAATGGGCTCCAAGAGTGGAGATTGACTATAGGGTTTAAACTTTAGGTTTTTGGGTTTTAAGATATGGTGTTTATGATGGAATTGATCTTTCTTGTTGAGATAAGGAAGCTTTATAGGTTCTGTTTATTGAGTTGGAAGTTTCCATGGCCCTCTCTCTTGCAATAGCATCAAAGCATTGGACTCTAGTGGGTTTTCTATGGTTTCTGTCCAACACAACTAGGGTGTTAAGAGTATTATTTTGTCTTTCATCAAGTATTCTATGAGAACATATGGCTTTTAGAATGTTTAAATGTATCTTTTTTGGCATAGATCTCAAAGGTTGAAGGGATAGTGAACCTCAAAGACTTCAGAATAATTTACCCGGTTGGAAGCATCTACAAATTGATTGCTAAAAGTGTTTGTTGAAAGAGTGAGTTAAGGTATGAGTTCAATGGTTGGTGAGGCGAAGACCCCTTTATGGGAGGCTGACATATTCTACATGCCTTATATGGAGATGGATTGCCAAAGAATGGGTTGCTATTATGAGTCTCACTAGATTTGAGGTCGGCAATGATGGCAGTGAGTTTCTGGTTCAATTGCTGATGTATGGATGGACCCCCCAAGGGATGCTTTCCCTGTCATTTATTTGTTATCAGGTTCAAAGGGGCAAAAGTCAGAGGTTGTTTAATGATGTAATTTGTAGAAGCTAGCAGAATGTCTATCTCTGACAGAAAAGAAATCGGTTATGCGACATCTTTCAACCTTTCATTCGGATCACATTCAACCCTCTCAAAGATGACAGATAAGTTTGGAAAATCTCTTAAGGATGTAAGATTACCAACAACTTGCTGGCCTCATACTAGGCTATTCCTCTCGAAATAATTTGTAAATCCAACACTTACTCTTCCATTGCTTTCTTTGCTTGAGAGCAGCTTGAGATAGGATCTTCACCATGGACAACCCGATGACTGATGGTTATTGTTTTTTTCCCCTTAGGAGAGTGGAAATCCCTATGCTATCGCCTTTGTTATATTAAAGTTCTATGGCTTTGACATGTGACGCTTGCTCTCCTAAATATCAGCTGGTCACGGGTGGATTGAGGACAAATTATGGGCTTGGAATGGGTGCTGCTAAGGAGCTAAGTGTGAGAGGAAGAATATTTTTCTTATTCTTCTTTATCTTTTATGGCAAGGGAATTTGGTATTGCATGTAATTTTTGTTTGGTTTGGGATGTTAGTTTTTTATGCTTGTTTGTGTATGCTCTTTGTTTTATGCCCCTTCTTTCTTCTGCTGTGCTAACAATGCTTGTTTTGTATGCAGTCGAGATTGCCCAATATTTTATCGAAGAAAGAAGGCACAAAAAGACATGGCGGAAACCAAGCGGCAATTAGACCGATGGAACTTGTAAGACTATCCCAAGGTTGGTTCTACGTTTTCCTTCATTGATCACCTCTGTTTAATTTGAAAAAAAGGAAAACCGTGCAATGCTTGTTGAATAATTTTTTAGAATTGTTGGATGATCATCGTATACGTTTTCTTTTGAGAGCTTGAAGGAAGAGTAAATTTAATTGTCTTCTTGTTGGTATTAGACTATGAATTTAAAATGTACGTCTGAGCTGCCTGCTAGGTTACCTGCTATCGTTACTGTTTTACGGCGTTTTACATGACATTTTTGAGTCTTTGTAATTTCACTCATGCAGGTTTTGGAGTTTTGAGCTGAGGATACGTGGCAATGAGTGCCCTTACCACATGCTTTTAGTTGGAGTCCAGCTTAACTTGATTTCTTATTCAGTGCCTTATGATTTTATTGGAGGGTTGGTGGCATTAGCTTTAGCTTGTTGAATATGATGTACAGTAGCTGCGAAAATTGTGCTTATGTTATGTAAATAATCGCATATCATGTCTTAGTCGCATGATTAATGCACAAATTGAGCAATTTGAGGTTTTCGATCCATAATTAGAACTTTCTTGGGTGCATTTTAATATGTATCATGAACAAATATCTAGTCTTGACGGTAAATTCAACTCAGTTGATGGACTCAGGTACACTTGAATTCCCCTCTTTATGATTGATTTTTTCTTCATACAATTATTAAGCATTGTAAAATAAATTTTTATTTCACTAGTTGTATCTGTTAATTTATTTTGATATTTAATTCTTTTTTACATTTGGTACAAAATTTTTTTCAATACATGTTATTTATTCTACAGTAGCTAACTTATTTTTTTATTTTTTAATTAATATTATTCTTAATTGAGAATAAAAAAAAAAATGTTTGCTCTTGTAAAAAGATTCAAGAAAAATTTGGGTTATAAAATAATTCTGTAAGTTCAAAGATTAAAAAGTTATGACTAAATTGACAATCTACAATTTACAGACTAAATAAATTATTAGATTTGCAACAAAAATCAGTTCTATGCTTTTATTAATTAAAAAAATAATAATAATAAAAGCACGTGATGAATATACAAGTTGAGCAATTTGAAGTGCAATCCACAAACTAGACCTCTACTAGGCACGTGCTAAAATGTATCATGATCAATACTAATCAAAAGACGAAATCAAGTCAGTTGTCGGACCAGTTACCAGCCAACTAGTCCTGGAAATTTGTAGGCATTATCAAAGTCCCGATTCGGGTCACCAATAACAAAGATACCAAATAGCTCCGAGGAATGGGTAAAAGAAATCATAAATTATCGATTTTTTGTTCCAACTTGGATTTTGATAGCAAATAAAAACCTAATAAAAAATATGAATAAAGAAATCATAAGTTAATCACAGAATTTTCAGCTTTCATTTTCAACAAGCAAACATAAAAGTATCTCCTTCCACTAGTTATTACACGGGAAAGGGCTGTAACTCAACTTTCAGCATTGCATATTACAATTGACGCCCACATATATTACTTCTTTCTGCTAAGGAGCTTGTATCTAAGCCTCTTATGACTTGCAAAAGCAGGTTCAACAGCATTGAATATTGGGACACAAATTGTTGAATCAGGTATATAATCTCAAGCGTGTTGTTATTGGCTGCCGGCACAATGGACAGGATGAAATGGTTGCACCACAATCCTTGCAGGTCTTCAGCATGAATGCAGAAGTGTTAACATGATGAGCAAATAAGGGGTGCAATGTGGATCAAAATAATTTACATGAATGCAGGAAACATTTAATTCTCTATTGAAGATTATTTTTTTTTCTTAAATATGGCATTCCCTCTCAATCCCTTGAAACCAAACAAAAGGGGCTTCTATTGGCTCCTCTCAGTTGTGCTAGAAGTAATCCACAACTTAATGGAATATTCTATCAATTAGTTGGTGGTTGAGTATGGTCAACCCTTAGAAGACCCTGAGTTCGACAACCAAAAGACTTAACACCAAGTCTTCCTTTAAAAAGGATTCTTTTTTGAGAGTTATTGGAACCCTAACACTACATTGGGATTGTATTGACAGATTTGATCTACTAATACTTAATGCTTCAAACTGAATCTTTTATAGCAGAGGTGTACTTCAATGATAATACCCATAGATGGTAGCCATGCAGGTAACCCTGCATCTCTTTTTCATTCAACAAATTATTTAATGAATTGATCCTAATAACAATTTTTTGTACCAAATATTCAACAAGGGTGAACTCTAATGTCTAATTAGTTGGTTTTAATGGATCAGGCAATCAACAAGGATCATTATATCTTGTAGCCTCCCCTCCCACGGGAAAATAAATAAAATAAAATAAAACGAAATCACAACAAACTTTTAGCAAGGAAGCATTTGTGCAATTGAGTAAAAGAAAGTGAAAACAATAATAGATTTAGAGTTACGGAACTGAAAAACGTGACAACAAAAAATGAAGAATAATTCTTCGACATGAATGGTCGCAAATGCAGCAAGAGTTTGAACTCAAAGGTTAATACTAAAATTCCTAATCACACTACAAGGGCAACATTATTGAAATTTACTCACTGTGTGACCGCATCCAAAAGCCATGTCCTTTGGATTTGTCAAGCAAATGGGACAGACCTTCATCAAGATCAAAACATTCCAGAAGAAATTTCCATTTAAGCAGAAGATTCAAAAAAATTTAAAAATAGTAAGAACTATATGAAATACAAGAAATCAAAATACCGGTTCAGCTGGCGCTGTTGGTTCAACAGTCTCGAAGTTCCTCACATTTGGGATTGATTTAACTGCTTCATCATACTCGATTACTTCACGTGGAGGTGGAAGCGGCCTAGCTCGAGGACCACTTACTAGTTGTCTACTGCATAAAGTGCAAGGCCAATTTATTGTAGACAATATTCAAGAACCATGAAAGACTTCTATGAAAAGTTGCTTATCCTGGGCCTTACTCAGTCGACTGAAGGCTGAGGGTAGCTTTGTACTGAAATGGAATTTCCATTAGAGCAGCAAGCGCAAATGCTGCTTCTTTCTTTGATGTTTCTCTGTTCTCAGACATGATCTTTGTGAAATTTACAAACTGGAGGAGCAACAAATAGCACAAGGATCTTAGATTAATCACATAAAAAACACACTCAAAAGTTACTGGAGAGCAATCTACATCACCATTATATATAGTAGTATATGTATCTCACTTTTTTGCACCACTAGGCTGTATACTTGGATAAAGTCTGTACTATAATTAAGAGGGTAGACCTCAAATTGATCATATATACCTGGAAGTTGTCAAATGCACGCTGAGGAATGTTGTCGTCAAATTGTTTCATTGAATCCCATGGTCCATCCCCCCACCCCAACCAAGATTATTGAGAGAGGATACCGGCTGTTTTACAAATGCAGTCAATCAGAATAGCAAGAACGATATGATCATGATTCATTATTACATACAGCATTTCTTTACCTAGCAGCAACTATTGAGTTTACAGTAGATTGTTCTTGTGGACTCAGCCTTCCTGCAGGAGTATCAGGATTTCGGGTAACCTGCATTAACATGTTTCTCAACCATGAAAAAGTAAAGGGGGAAAGGAGAAAAAGTGAAAGCCATGACAAAGTGAGATTAGATAAAGAATGCTTTATGAACCTGTCCATCTGCAACAATGACAAGCACATGATATTGCATGTTACTTCTCTCCACTATGTCAAGTGCAGCATCAATAATTGGGGAAAACGAGGTTGGACCTATAAAAAAAGGTAAAAGATCATCATATTAATACCTCCAAGGAAAAATGCAGCACTAGAATAAATACCCCATTGACTTCTACTAAATTGTTAGGAAGCATTATATTCACTATAGAATGTACATGTGCATTTATTGAAAATACTCCAAAACCATAGCATCTGAATCTTGTGAAGATAAGTGAAATAAGGATATTTGGAAAAATCAAAGTTTTCTATGGTCCCATATCAGGTTTGCTAAACAAATTTAAGTAATAAAAAGGAAGAAAAAAATGAGTCAAATACCTGACAACTTTAAGCATCGGACAATCTGTCGATATCTTGTTAGTGCTTCTTCAAAACCATGACAAGGCCGGTGATCGGGATAAAAACTGAACACAGATTGGTCATGTGTTGATGCTACAGAAGAGGATGTAATTAGAAAACTGATCTAACAGAAGGATCATTCACAAATAAAGAAATACTAACCATCACCAAATCCAAAACAAGGTATCAAATTATCCTCATCGAAGGGGGTTAAGGTACGGCCAATTATAGAGATTGCTTGTTCGTATGGATTTGGTGTATCACTAACAGCATGAAGGCTTCTCCTGTTGAATGAGTACCTGCCTGTTGTAATTAATGAAACTTTACCAATTTCTTCTCTCCCCTTATAATCTATAGGGTTAAAAACTTAACACATTGTATGCTTCAAGGATCACCTGTCCACTCGTTGCTTTTTGTGAAGTCAATTCCAAGTATTAAATTTGATGATTCAAGGCCTGCATCTCTTAGCGCAGAAATAACCTAAAGGAAAGTGCAGAATACTTTTCATGAGCAAGTGCTTTCTACTAACCAGAGATAATAATGAGGTAAGAAACAGAAGAAAGAAGACACCACTTGATATTGCATCTTTGATATCTTTTCACAATCTGTAAATTGCAAGAGCATTTTCTTTCTTTATTGAAGATAATGATACCAATAAGGTAATGGTTGAAGCTATTGATTTTGATGGAAGAAGAGATCTCAATTTCCTCAACGACTGGTTTAACTCAAAAGAAAAATACTTTAATTGGCATGACATCTCATATGCATAAAGGTTAGATTTGTCAAAATGAAGTTAGTTGAACTAGCAAAAATATTTACTACTAAAACAAGGGATGAGATAAAAGCCACTCGCAGAAAATATTTACTTTCCAATAACTTTGACAAATTAATTAAAAAATATTTAATTCAGGACACCATGTTTGTAACTCAATACATGCAAAAATCTAAAAGTCGGCTGAAAGAAGAAGATAGCCAAGCAACATCTCTATTCAAGGTAAGACTACAGTTAAAATTAAAAGAAAATTAATTTGACAACCTCCTGGAACCATAGCCTAAACGTAACAAGTTTGACAACCTCCAGGAACCATAGCCTAACAAGCTGCTTTTAACGTGGAAGAATATTTGAAGTACCCAATTCTTAGAAATATTGATTTTCCAATTCTCGAACCCACTTCCAAAGATACCTTTGAATTAAACAGTTATGGTTAAGACTTCTTATATGTGATGTTGAAGAAACCTCGTGTGATTTCTAAGCTTTCATCTCCAGGTCCCTAAGTAGACAAATCATCCTAAGTGGTTGTTTGGGCCTGGAATCCATTATCTCATTAGCTTGGTGAAGTTTTTCAGGCTGAATGGAACTTGGGCACCCCAATCTTCAATTTCTCAATCCACATAGGCCACGTTTTTTTACTTTGGGCTGGCTCTACCAATGTTAGACTTTATGCTCCCTGGAAATCTGTTATCTTCTTAGCCTGCTGAATTTTTTTAGGCTAAACTGAACTTGGGTACTCCAATCTTTAATTTCTCAATCCACATAGGCCCCATTCTTTGACTTTTGCTACCCAATCTTAGACTTTATGTGGAAGCCACATAACCTTCCTAATTCCTTAGAGGTAAACTGCAATCATGAAAAGAATAATTCTCAATAATCGCCTCAGTAAGAAAGATTTTCTTTCTAAACTCATACTGCATTTTTAGGTACATTACCAACACTTCCAAAAATTCAAAGACTTGTCCAAAAGAGGAAAAGTCCTTCTCTGAACTGTTGTTTTCATGGCCCTGACCAACCTTCCGCCACCCC